TTTTTTTTTCAGCTACTTATTTAGTTACCATTGCGGAAGTCTACAGAAACTGTTTCAGGAGGAGAAGTAAGTGGGTGGTGGGAACCACTACGACTTGCCCTCCACTTTACATGTATTTTTCTATAATAAAGCATTTTATACATAGAAGTTTACTTCGTCATGGCTAACTGCTGTTCCCACGTCAAAGTGCATGAGTCTGCGAGCCTTTCAAAAAAGCAGGAAAGCCATTCATTCCTGTTTCAATACACGAAATCTATTGGACTTCTTATACTGCTAAGCACTTACCAGTTACATGAAAGAGTTACTCTGTAGATGGAACAAAAAAAAAAGAATTGTATACATACTCCTTACCGCTGAATATTTCTTGTACAATATGGGAATATCATATAATACATCTTGATAATTGGATATACTGATAAGATATCTTATCTGATAACATGAATGATACGGAACCGTTTTCCCAGATAAAAGGTGAATAGTGATAAAAAAAAATACGACGATTTCCTAAATATCACTTTCTTCATGTGTTCTTTACCTCAAAGGCAAAGAAATTTATCAGGCGTATTTTCCCGATTGTATGCGCTAAGCATGCTACTAGGATCCAGAAATCTAGCAGCGATCGGAAGCGTATTTGATGACCACAATGTTCACTTTATGATACGGTATTTCTATTTACCCACATGATTTTGCTACCATATACCTATCATAGGAGGTTTGAAAGCCCTGGTGACCTTTCCCAGATCCTGACGTGCGACAGTAACGCCCTCCAGCTCTTCATTTCGGCAGCCATGAGATTCCATCAGGAGCTATTCTTCTAGTCGAATGTGGATAAATATAAAACTTACGTTCAGAGCGCTTGAACATATCAGTGGTGAGGTAGATAGCTAATATAATGTAATATAATGTAACACAATAAGTATATATGTGGTAATCTATGATAATGAGTGATAATTCATTTTTCGAGCTTTTCGCCAACCTTATTCGAACAGCAAACAGTGTCGCGAATCAATCGGTACACGCTCCTGTAATAAAACCATTGAATAGATGAACCAATCAGAAAACGCGAAGGGTGGTAAAGTATGAGCCCCGCCCATTCATATATGTCCCTCCCATTCTTCTATATATCAAGGCATTTTAACTCAAACCACTCTCTCTTCTAACGTCTAAAAGAACTTACCAGATCATGTGGCCAATGGCAAACCACGTGGCTAAGTTGTAGCCAATATGACTGAGTAATTCGTACAGATTAGGATCTTTTGTTACTAACACCTCAGTGACACGAGTCGTAGTGTACTCCAATACCAATCGAGCAACGAAATCCTGAAAATATTTAAATCGCTAGGTTACTGGTTGAATGTGCCTTATTTTGATCATCGGGGTGATTCAAGATCCATTCGTAAAAAGTGTAATGAATACTCGAGGTCAATCATTTGCCGATATTTTTTGAGAACATTATTTCTGGAAGCCTATTGGTTTATTAAGGGACGGAGGTGGTGTAGTGGCAAGTGGCCCACTACCACACACACATGGTCACAGGTCCGAATGCTGGTTCGAGATCCCCCTTCAGTCTCCTCGGGGTCGGGTAATTAGTGTAAGGCTTGTCTAGGAGGATAAAATCACCGACTAGTTTTGGCTAGCCACGGCAACTCATAGTAAAGGTCACATAGCCATACAAAATGCCACTACGATTCTGAATGGAAGTTGAATGCGTGGGTGCATCCCTCTGACGGGATTGGTTAACGCCCCAGGACTTTATCTTTATCCTTCGTGCGGGGATACATCCCGGAAACGGTATTGATCCACGCCAAAGACGTTATCCTTGTCATTTATTATTTATAATTCAACCGGAACAAGTCCGGGAATGAGGTTGATTATCAACCACCAGACCTTATTCGTGGCCTTATCCACGTCCGAATCTATATCTACCCATACCCATACCAAATCAGAATGGAAGAATCTTGAAACCGCTTCTGATTGGTCTTTCTAGTTTTCCTTAACTCCGTTACCGACTGATTTACCTAACTTGAAGTTTGACATACCTGCGTTGATCGGTATACCGGTGGCAAATCGTACTGGTCTACCATTCCAGGATATGACGTCGTCACACATGGGTAAGGGTTTTCACTGCAAAAAAAGAAAGTTTTTGGACGTTTGCACGTCTGCATTGTTACGATAAGACATAAAAAACTTATTCTAATAGCTCATATATTTATTTGTAAAATTCTGTAATAAGCGAAATGAGCCGCGCGCGGTTGCGTAGCGGCTTTCTTTCATTTATACGATTAATCGATGGGACCAGGACAAAACCGAAAACTCTCACTTAGATCTTACCTCCGACACTGCTTTAGCTCAGCTGATCCTAAAATGTAAGCCGGTATGTCTTCGGTCCATGCAGACGGCCGCGTCAAATCGATATACCGTCTTGCACAGCTTTCATATTGATCGATTGTACATACTTGTGTTGTGTTGACACGGTATGAAAAATGCCTTAAAACAACTTTTCGGAACCAGTAAATGTAGTTGTTATCCATAAAGATCCCGAAAGAAGGAAACGGTACGAAAATCGATAAATCGATCGCTCACCTGTAATTCATTCTATCGTATGGTATCATTTCAGCAATTAGGGGATGACAGTTGCAGTATTGTATGGAAACCTGAACGGATTACTTTAAATACCTCCTGAGAAAATACTGATACTGAAAAAATAAAGAGGTAAATATGACAGTAGATAAGGGGAGCGCTTGTGAGAAGTTAGGTAGAGTTCCTCGGTAAACAGCATGAGTTCAAGATTCAAAAAACAAATAGTGAAACAAACAAAGCAAATAAATAAAAACTCGAATCAATAATATTGATAACTAAGGGATTGTTGATGAAATTCCATAACAGCCGGCAATTACATTTACATTCTAACCAAGAAATACACGATAATCAGTGGAAACGTCATTTTTTCGTCGGTAGCTTTTAGCCCAGTCCAATAAATGTTTACCCCTCCGATTATATATTTATTAAATAGCTACTTTTGAGTGTAGCTCAAAACACAACATTAAAAGATGATTATCGATTGCCGTTAGAAGTACGCGCGTACTAACATATATACAATCAATACATAGTGCCACAAGATCTCCGCAATCCCGCCCAGCCGCAGGATACAACTGGATCTATGAAACTTTGTAATTTTGATGACCTTTTCCGAAAATATCATTCTTTTCTCATTTTTATCGGACTTACCATTATCACACACATAAGCAGATTCGTTCTATTGTTCGCATAGTTGTGATTATCAACGGAAACGGCATCACCAAGTGTTTGGCCACACGATGACCGACGTAGATCAGCTCGTTCCTAGATAGTTGGATTTCATATGAAAATATTCTCGAAGACTGCTCATAATTCAATAAAAATTGAAAGTATCGGCTATTCGGACCTCCTTGTGCATCCTTACGCGCATTCCTCTCTTATCCAATAATCGTAGGGGATTTTCGAGTTGTCCTATCAAGTCGACAATGTCATCAGCGTTTTTCTTCAAATAGACGTCAACTCCTGGATGGACTGGCATCGTTTGCTCGGAATACCAAGAGTTTCGCGTCATCTTAACAACAAGTTATAGTCGTTGTACTGGGCCGCACCGCGACCGCGCTCGTCACGTCCTGTCCAACTCATCTCACTTTCAAAACCTTTGCTGTAGACAGCAGCCAACAAAAGGCAACGAAAAAACGTCGAATCAAATTATGTTTACGGGTATTCAAATGATCATGGCCAGCTAATACAATTCTTACTTCGAAGAAGCCATGATGCCCAGGATCCGCACAATCCAACAGAAGGCCTCCTTGCAAAAAATACCATTCAAGGAGTCCTCTTTCTTCAGCAGGCAAACTACTTACGCAGCCAACTCATTATTTACTGATATCAAACTTTTTTTCCTTTTTAGTTTTATTTCTGCTTTATAACTAGTTACCTTTAACTGACTGTTTCTTACTAATTATAATTTTTTTGATGCTATGTTTCTAGTATTCGTTTTTGCTAATCAAGCTGACCTGGAATGTTATGGCGAACTGATGCAGTGGTGACGATGAATTCTGTGTGAGTAACCGATCGTAGAACATCCAGCATAAACCCTTTGTTGTTGGCAGCTTGTATAGAACATTCCGACAGCAATCAAAAGCTTGAATGTCCATTCCCTGGAAATAACCTTTTCATTTCCGGTTCATTTTGCTTTTCAGTTACTTGTAGCTCACATTTGTCACCATCCTTAAAGTGTTATATGAGAGGGCACATTGAGGATATTTTTCGTTACTGTGCCAAGCAAGA